GCAGCAGCAGTACGGTGGCGGGTACCAGCAGCCTCTCCCTCCCCAGGGCTACGGTCAGCCGCCTCCGCCTAACTATGGCGGTGGAGGCTGGAGCCAGTATCCCGGCCAGGGGCGCCACTAAAAAAGGTCAGAGAAAGACGCGAATTTTTTTGGCCGTACTCGGCGGTTCACTTTTGAGCGGATGGGCTAGGATGGGGAGCTTCGGCAACAAGTAACGAGGATTTAGACACGCAGGTGCGAAAGTGAAAGCATGAGAGGCTGGCTGGAGTTTTGCTGATGTGATGAATATACACCCGACTGGCAGGGTTTTAATTACGTGCTGCGTGCTATGTGAAGGGCGAAGAAGTGAAAAGAGAACTACAATCAATCATGATATGGAGGCAATGCCAAAGTCATGCCCAAAGACGCCTGAAAACTCCAGAGGCCCCCCCCCCCCCCTCCCCCTGTGTCTTGCCTCTTCGTCATGGCCCCCTTTCCGGGCTATTCGGGGCGGAAACGCTGCGCCCATGGCAGCGATAGTCCCAGGATCTACCGCTTGCCCCGTCGCGGATCGAGCGCCTCGGCCCTCCGGACGTCCCGAATCTCCTTGGTGCCCATGCTGCCGAGGCCGCCCTCGGAGCGCCTCTCCCAGCCGCCGAGGCGGACGACGAGGCAGGTGGCATTGTCGCCGTTGGCGGAGACCTCGGTGGCGTAGTCGACGACCTTTTGGGCGCCCTGCTCGGGGGTGCGGGCCTCCTTGACGACGTCGACGATTTCCTGGTCGCTGAGGTGGCCGGAGACGCCGTCCGAGACGAGGGTGAGGAAGCTGTACTGGGCGGGGCCGAGGTCGACGCGGGTGATTTCGGGCTCGGCCGAGACGCCGATGCGCTTGGAGCGCATGTCGCCAAAGGCGCGCGAGTTGGCGAGGCCCGTGATGCGCTGCTCGCCAAACGAGTCACCCGAGACGAGCGAGTTGGCCGGGGCGTAGCGGCGGAGGCGGCGCTCCTCGGCCGGGGTCGAGGGGTGGTGGTCCGAGGTCAGCGGGTGGGCGAGCCCCGTCGACGTGTCGCAGAGGAGGATGCGCGTGTCGCCGACGTGGCCGACGAGGAGCGTCGACTGGGCGCCGGGATGCCAGAAGGGGGCCGGCGACGGTGTCGAGATGAGCGCCACCGAGGCCGTCGAACCGCCTTTGAAGCGCGTCGCGCCGCCGATGCCGTGGCCAGACGGCGGCGCGTG